GTGTGTGTGTGTGTGTGTGTGTGTGTGTGTGTGTGTTACTGTGAATTAAATCCAGGACCATCACACTGAGCTATATTGCCAGCCCTTTTTTATTTTTTGAGACAGGGTCTCACTTAGTTACTAAGTTGCCAACAATGAACTCAAAAATGTGATCCTTTCTGCTTCACATCCCAGAGTAGTGGTATTACAGGTATGTACTAACACACCAAGCTTCATCTTTGTTTTTAGAAGATATATTTGCTGGATATAAAATTCTGGATTTATGGGGTTTTTTTCCTTTTATTATCTTAAAAAGATGCTGCTTTTGTTTGTATTGTTTCCAAGGAGAAATTTGATATCCTTATCTTTGTTTCTCTGTATATAATGAATGTATTTTTCTGGCTGCTTTTAAGATTTTGTTAATGGTTTGAGCAATTTACCATATGTCATGGTGTAATTTAGCTTCTTGGATCTATGGACTTAGAGTTTTCATCCACCTTAGGAAACTTTTGGCTATTATTTCCTTATAAATATTTTTCATTCACATACTGGTGACATGCTGTTGGCATGCAGACCTTGTCACACAGATGATGACTCTACCTACATGGCGAGCTTTCCTGAGGGCAGCTGGCCTCATTCATTGCCCCTGGTCAGTGCTTGGCGGAGTCTGGCACCTTATGTTGAGTTGATGAGGGTTGAAGGGTAGGGGTCACAGAGGTTGTGCCCAGGACTTTTGTGTTATGTAAGCCTTTGCCCAGGACCAAACTTGTGGCTCCAAAGTCAGCAAAAACTTCCTCTCCTTCCTCCTGCTGCTGTAGCTGCACTGCTGGACCAATTTCTTAGCACTCCCAGGGCAGCAGCCCCAGGGTGGTAGGCAGGAGGACAGAGTCCAGCTGTCAGAAGTCACTTCAGGAAGGAGCTACTTTATGGCTCTACCATTGTTTCGCAGGCACAGTGGCCCAGCCTCTTCCAAGGAATCATGGTGGGAGGAGTGAGGCTCATTTTGGGAGTATCAGCCAGAGCTGGTCTTCTTAGACCTGGGTCTGATGCTTACTAGCTGTACTTCTCTGTGTCTCTGCTTGGTCATCTATTAAGTGGACTTGGTAACCCTTGTCTCTATCTCACAGACCTGTTGTAATGTATACAAAGATGCTTTGCTTTAGTAGAATTTGCATTATTTTATTTTTCCAATTGGATGTTGGCACTGGAATGGTTTTAGTTATAATCTTCATGGGAAGGAGTGGGTTTTGAGCAAAGCAATGTGTTTGTCCATTTATTTATTTGGCACCCATTAATCTAGTATCCCTTTGTGACCTTCTTGACCTGGAGAATGGGTGGCTCTGACAATTTAATGGAAAGGATAACTTCTCCGTAAGAGACAGTTTTTCTTTTTGATAGTCCTGAGGATTGAACCCAAGGCCTTTGAGCTAAACTACATCTTCACTTCTTTTTTAAAAAACTTTTATTTTGAGACAGGGTCTGGCTAAGTCTCTTAAATTGCTCAGGCCAAGCTTCAACTTGCAATCCTCCTGCCTCAGCCTCCTAGAGCTCTGGGATTACAGATGTGGGCCACCATGCCCTGCTGGAAAATGTCATTTTTGAGAACTCTCTTTGAGGCTCATATATTTTCAAGTCATACATGACTGATTATGCTGGAATGTTTTAGTTGCAGAGGAAGGTGGTCACTTATGGTTGGAGGAGCAGCCTGCTCCGCCTGTCCAAGTGGGAACTGTGTACCTGAAGAAGGAGGCGTCCCTACAAGAGCTGAGCAGCCGCCAGGAGAGGGCGGCAGAAGAGGCTGATGCTGTGCTGGGGCGGGGCACCCCCAGGGACCCCATGGTGGTGCTCTCTGTGATTCCTGGAGAAGCTGAGGACAGACGGAGCTTAGAGCCGAGCAGCGGCTCATGTGCTGCTCGAGGAGAAGACGCGAGGTGCAGTGTCCGTGAGAGCCTCTTCTCTCCGGACAGTGCGGGGCCGACCTCCCCCGACAGAGAAGAGGAGTACTACCCCGAGCCGGAAGTGGCCGAGTCCGACCCAGCCCCTGCGGATGACTCCAACAACACGGAGAGTCTGAAATCCCCAAAGGTGAATTGTGAGGAGAGGAACGTGGCGGGATTGGAAAATTTCACTCTGAAAATTTTAAATGTGTCCCAGGTAAGAAAAAAATTATCCAGTACTTTTCTCCTTTTTAGCGTATTAATCTTACTATTTTATACTCTCAACTTTCAAATAGAATGTCATTATCTTTATCATATTCTAAGTGGGGATACCACTGAATAACTGCTTGAATGAAAATTGACTTTGCTTTTGGTGATGTTTGTAGGAAAAGAAAGAAATATAAATAGTGTCGGTTAAATTTTTTAGGTGGCCAGGAGGTAGTCGTTCTTGGGGTAATCTCACCAGTAAGCCTCATGATAAAAATCTCAGTAGATAGGACAGCTAGGAAAACAAAACAATGCTTTTTCCTCTTCCTCCTCTTCCTTTTCTTCTTCCTCTTCCTCCTTTTCCTTTTCTTTCTGTTCTTCTTCCTCTTCCTCCTCCTCATCTATCTTTACTAGGGATTGAACCCAGGGCCTTCACACTAAGCAACATCCCCAACCCTTTAAATTTTTGAGACAAGGTCTGCTGAGTCACCAAATTGCCCAGGCTGGGCTTGAACTGGTGATCCTCCTATCTAAGCTTCCATGCTTGGCTTCTTTCTTGTTTTTTGGAAGGGAAGGGGTTTATTTGGCTTACAGTTTGTAGAGGTTTCAGTCCATAATCAGCTGGCTCCAAGGCAGGGATGGCAAACAGGCATTGCAGAGGAGAAACAATATGGCACACACCGGCTTCTTCTTTAAAAGGAAGTACTTATTGGGCCAGGGATTTAGCTCAGTGGTTCCGCTGCCTGCCTTGCAGGTGCAAGGACCTGAGTTTGAACCCTGGTACCAAAAAAAAAGGAAGTACTTATTACAAAGGCAACATAAAAATAATCTGAATTGGGCTGGGGATTTAGCTCAGTAGCACCTCATCTGCCTTGCAAGAGCGAGGTCCTGAGTTCCGTCCCCAGTACCAAAAAAAAAAATCTGAATTGTTTCAGGCATGGTGGCTTACACCTGTAATCCCAGTACTCTGGGAGGCTGAGTTAGTTAGGAGGATCAAAAGTTTGAGCCCTCCCCTGCCAATTTAGCAATTTAGTGAGACTCGGTCTCAGAATAAAAAATTAGAAGCCAGAGGTGGTGGTGCATGCCTGTAATCCCAGCACTTGGGAAGCTGAGGCAGGAGGATTGCTGTGAGTTGAAGGCCAGTTTGGGCTCACAGTGAATTCAAGCCCACCCTGGATTACAGAGCAAGACCCTGTCTCAAAAAAAAAGAATTAGAAAAGCGCCAGGAAGGTATTTTAATGTGAAGGTCCAGGGTTCAATCCCCAATTTTGAAAAAACCCCTCTGAATTATAGCTGATGGAGTGGCTCACACCTATAATCTCATCTACTCTGGAAGCTGAGGCATGAGGATTGCTTGAGCCTAAGATTTCAAGACCAATTTGGGCAACACAGCAAGACCCTGTCTCAAAAAAAAAAAAAATCAAATCTGAACTTCTAAAATTGTAATTTGGCATTATTTGGAGAATATGTTACATTAATGGAAATTTTCTCTTCCCGCTAAAGATGTGTGTCCAGTGTTTGTTCTGGGCTGAGGGTTGAAACCATGTTTCAAATCCAGCCATGCTTTTCCAGATAGTTGGATAAATGATTCCAGGGAAGTCTGAAATACTGAGAATTTCTGTAAAATGTTTAAAAAGCCAGAAGAACAGAATGAAGTCAGCCTTTTTATGAGAGAAGTAAATCCCAGGTCTGAAAACTATAATTGCTTACTGTTAGCACAGTTTGTGTAGTGCACGTAACTCCTCCAGAGGCAGGGGTCAGCCTGGCCTCACATCCCCTCCCAAGTGCCTGGTAGATGCTGTGTCACATACAGGACTGGGACAGTCTGAGTAATAGTTAAAATAATTGGTGGCAACCTTTGTTTCTTGTTTTTTGGAGACAGGGTCTCACTATGTAGTTCAGGGCTGGCCTTGAACTCACTGTAACAGACCAGGCTGGCCTTGAACTCTCTTGTGATCTCTTGAGATCTCTGGAACTCTCTCAAGTGATCCTCTCTTGCCTCAGCCTCCTGAGTGCTGGGATTACAGGCATGTGCCACCGTGCCTGGCTATATCTCTATCTATCTATCTGTCTATCTATCTATCTATCTATCTGTCTATCTATCTATCTATCTATCTATCTATCTATCTATCTATCTGTTGTTGTTTTTTCTTTGAGACAGGGTCTTGCTGTGTAGTTCAGGCTGGCCTGAAATTCACTGTCTGGCCCAGGTTGGCCTCGAACTTGAAGCAGTCTTCCTGCCCTAGCCTACCGACGGCTGGGATTATAGGTATATGCCATCGTAATGGCAGTCACATATACTGATCCAGCTGTTTGGTACAAACTTAGGTCTGCTTAGGTGCTAGCTTGGGTCTGAGATCCTAGTGCTCTAAATGCCATTTGAGATTGTTTGATGTGTTAATCAGCTTTTTATTACTGTAACAAAATACTTGAGATAATTTAAAAAAGGTAAAGGTTTATTTTGGGTCACAGTTTTGAAGGTTTTTAATCTACAATTGGTTGGCCCTGTTGCTTTTGGGTCTGTGGTAAGGCAGCACGTCATAGTGGGAAAGCATAGCACAGGAAGAGCCCACCTCATGGGGGCCAGGAAGCAATGAGAGACCCAAGAGACTGGGGTCTGACAATCCCCTTTAAGTGCATGCCCCAGTGACCAGAATCCCGCTACCCGGCCTCACCTCCTAAAGGCTCCACCACCTCCCATTAGTGCCATCAGCTAAACATCAAACCTGCAATACATGAATCTTTGGGACACATTTAAGATTTTTTTTTTCGTGGTATCGAACTCAGGACCTTGAGCTTGCGAGGCAGGCAGCAGCACCACTGAGCTAAATCCCTGGCCTTAAGATTTTGAGATGTGCAATTCAAAGGTACAGTGACCTATACCATGTGGGTACTTAGTATTTGATTTGATGAAATATGAAACATAATAAAATAGCTCTGTAGTATTAGGAAAGCCTACCCCATTGGTGGTGAACCTATGGCACTCATGCTGCAGCTGGCTGTTTATCACTGAAAACTAAAAGGTTCACCATCACTGGCCTAAGGTAAAGTTTATACCTTGTTATTTGCTAGTACTTTTCGGCTGATTTATGGATCTATATGGTTAAAATCTGAGAAGGTCTTGCTGGGCATGGTTGTATATGCCTGTAGTCCCAGCACTCAGGAGGCTGAGGCAAGAGCATTGTTGTGAGTTCAGGACCAGCCTATGCTACATAGTGAGTTCAAGACTAGCCTGAACTACATAGTGAGACCCTGGCTCAACCCCCCCCCCCCCCCCCGCAAAAAAGCTGAGAACCTTAGTTCTTTATCTGCCTTACCTGAAGTTTGTTCCTCTTCCTGGTGCAGCAGGGTTTCCTTTTTTGTCGGGTATCCTTCCAGAAACTTGTGCATGTACCTTTACTACCAACTTCAACATTCATTTCTTTTACCACAGGACCTTATGGATTTTCTAAACCCAAATGGAAGTGACTGTACCCTGGTCCTGTTCTATACCCCCTGGTGCCGATTTTCTGCCAGTTTGGCCCCTCATTTTAATTCGCTGCCCCGGGCATTTCCAGCTCTTCATTTTTTGGCTCTGGATGCATCTCAGCACAGCAGGTATCTTGGTGGGGTATCTATGTCTCATCCTTTTGGCTGATGGCAGCAGTGATCACTTAACAAGTTAAGAGAAGCAGAGGAGGTGGGCAGGAGCTTTGAAGTGGGTTGGAAGGCAGGGAAAGGCAAAAGTGAATAGTGGTCATTGTCAAACTCCTGAGGGAGCTGGTGATGTCACTTTCTGGAAGTTCCTTAATTTTCTATATTCTCGCAAGTGCTATGAGCTTGCCTGTAAACTCTGTTCCCAGCTCTTCTAGAATGCTCCTTAGCAAGTCCTGAGAAGCTGTGTGTGACCCAATGTAGAATGCTGGGAAGATGGTCAAGTTGGTAGTAAATTGAAGTTGAATAAACTATTAATTTACACTCCACTGATTTTTTTTCTGTGTTAGAATATAATAGCCAATGCTCACCTGAAACTGTTATGAAGAAAGAAATTGCCCAACAAATTAGTAATTCCCATATAGATTTCAGGGAAATATCTAAGTGGCCCATAGGTCAATGTCCAGCTTTGACTGGGCCCTCCACTACCCCCATGCCTAGCTGACCTTTGATCTCAAGTCTGGTAGTCATGTTCCTCTCCATCCACAGGCTTTCAGCATGAGCTTTGTTTTGTGTTTACATCCATGGAGAGCCTGGTATGGTGCCTTACTTATGGAGAGACTAGGACACCTGTTCTTAGTACAGGGGTTGGGACATGTGTTTAATATGTTAATATTGAATATACAGCACGTTTACAAAGGAAAAATCTGATTATTTTACTGTGGGAAAAACTGAGGCTTAAGTAGGTTAAATAATCTGCCCAGAGGTTATGGCTGGTTCACTGGATGTACCGAGGTTAGAACTTAGACTGGTTTGTATTATATAAAGGTGAAAAAGTCCCCCACAAGTGAGATTATTTTCAAATCTTTCTGCCCTTATTGTGAACTTACTGGTGTATTTGTTAGATCATATATTCCCTTGTACCAATTTACCAAGCCTAATATTTATTATATGTTTATCTTTTTTGAGGGATAGGGATGGGCAATCTAAAGAATTTGAAATTTGTTCTGTTAAGTAAGTTGATACAGTGAGCTTTTGCCATGAATTCGAATTTTCTGGTCTGGTCTGTTTTGAAAGTTGAGAACTTAAGGGGCGTGGATAGATCCATCTGCTAATAGAAAGCAACTCAGATTGGTGGACAGGAGTGGCTCCAACCCTGATCTATGAGGAAACAGGTCAGAAACAAACTAATTCTGAAGTTTAAATATCAGAACAAACTAATTCTGAAGATTTAAATATCAGAAGTTTAAATATCAGAAACCTTAGTTCATATGAAACTGATTGCTTCTCATCTATTTCTATCCATTCTGATATGGTAATCATGCGAGAAAGCCTGCTGTTAATTCAGGTTTTCTAACTGTCTTCTTTCCTCTACAGCCTTTCTACCAGGTTTGGTACTGTAGCTGTTCCTAACATTTTGTTATTTCAAGGAGCCAAACCAATGGCTAGATTTAATCATACAGATCGAACACTGGAAACGCTGAAAATCTTCATTTTTAATCAGACAGGTAGGTAGAAATAATATGCTGAAGAAGATATTTTATTGGTAGGGGCATATACTTTTTGCAGGTTCTGATCTGCTCTAATCCTTACAGGTTGACTTTGAATTGTAAAACATCTAATAAACTGTAATGATTATGTTAAATATCGCCCAGTCAGTGGCAAGCTTAATGAGTAGGTAATTTTATTTTATTTTATTTGTTTTTTTGAGACAGGGTCTCACCATATCGTTTGTTTTGTTTTGTTTTAGTTTTTTTTTTTGAGACAAGGTCTCACTGTGTAGTCTAGGCTGGTCTTGAACTCGCAGTGACCCTTTTGCCTCAGACTCCCAAATGCTGTAATTAGATTACAGGCCTGTGCTACCATGACTGGCCAAGTAGGTAATTTCAATGATTGTAGATACCCTTTTCTTTTGTTTTGTTTTGTTTTGTTTTGTTTTGTGTAACCATGGATTGAACCTAGGGGCTCACACATACGGTATTAGGCAAGTACTATTAGGCAAGTACTCGCTGAACCACATCCCCAGCCCATAGATATCCTTTAAAAAATAAGACAAAAACAGGTTTATTGGCTGAGCTTGGTGACACAAACCTGTAATCCTAGCACTCTGGGAGGCTGAGGCAGGAAGACTGCAAGTTCCAGTTCAGCCTATGTAATTTAAGATATAGCAAGATCCTGTTGGAAAGTAAAAGGTAAAAAAAGGGTGAGGGATGTAGTTCAGTGCAAAGATCCTGGGTTCACTCCCTAATGGTACAAAGAGGAAAAAAACAAAATCAAAACAAGTTTATTAAAATATAATTGACATACCATACACTTCACCTGAAGATACCTTTTTAGCATACATTTTCATCTGAGTTTAGTATTTATATAAAAATTATGCATAAATCATTAGCGATGAACTTTCATAAAATGAACACCCTGGGTCACCAGTACTCAGAGCATGAGCAAACATGGCCAGTGTACCTTTGGCAAAGATAATCAGTCTTGACTCATAATACCATAGACTAGTGTTACCTGTTTTGAACTTTGCAGTAGTGGAAACATATAGTACACATTCTTCTGGGTTTGGCTTGTGCTTATGAGATGCACCTGCATTGTTGGGTATGATTATGTTTTGTTCATTTTTGTTGTGTAGTGTTCCATTTATTAATGTTTGCAGGTACTATTTTAATCCCTTAATGTTTGTCAAATATATGACTTCATTTTTTTTCTCTATTTGTAAAAAGTTTGAGCATTGTAAACTGAAGAAACTTCCTCCACTGGAAAACATCACTCATCAAAAACCTTACCACCTAGGGCTGGGGATTTAGCTCAGTGGTTTCACTGCCTGCTGCGAAAGCGCAAGGACCCAAGTTCGATCTCCGGCACCAAAAAACAAAACAAAACAAACAAAACCTTACTACCTCAACTTTGAACATCCCATTTCTTCCTGAAGTGTACTCACTGAAAATAAGTGAAAATTAGAATACACCTCCTATAGATATCGAGCTGCATATCATCACTTTTTTGAGGCATTTAAGAATTCCAAGTCTTGTCCTGGATCCCTAGGTGATATGGGGAAAGGCAGCTATTTTGGTTAGTGCTCTAGGAAAACCTAGAACACAAGTGAAATGTAGGAGCCCCAGAATCTTTAGTGATCCATGGTGGCTAGTCCTTTATTACTTATTTAGTTAGTTTTGAGTATTCTGAGACAGGGTCTCACTATGTATTTCAGGCTGGCCTTGAACTCTTGGGAGTTCTCCTGCCTCATCCTCCGAAGTGCTGGGATTACAGGCTTGCACCACTACGCCCACTCGAAGTGGGTGGCTAGTTTTACCAATTCTTTCAATAACCTATTTGCAAGCATTTTGAATTTAGTATTATTTAACCTGTGAAAACATTCTTCAGATTCCTGAGAGTAGCTTTGCTAGTTACTTGTTGAACTTTGGTGTGTCAAGAGAACAAAGGCAATTCTTACAAGGTATTGATAGGAAAGGTCTGATGAATCCACAGAAATTCTAGAGTTTTAGTTTTGTACAGCTGAATGGATTCCTGATTCTTTGATGTGGTAGGAAAAAAGGCAAGTTACAAATTACACTGACAAGCAGGTGAAGTCCAACCCAAATACACTAGTGGTGCTGTTTATTTTAGGACTGCATGTCATTTTGCATACTATGCATCATACTTCGGAAAAAATCTAGGGCAGATGTATTTTCTCTGATTTGAAACAACTGATTTCTCTTCCAGGTATAGAAGCCAAGAAAAATGTGGTAGTAACTCAAGCTGATCAAATAGGCCCTCTTCCCAGCACTCTGATAAAAAGTGTGGACTGGTTGCTTGTATTTTCGTTATTCTTTTTAATTAGTTTTATTATGTATGCTACCATTCGAACTGAGAGCATTCGGTGGCTAATTCCAGGACAAGAGCAGGAACATGCAGAATAGTGATGGAGTGAAAGAAGTTGGGAAGAGAAGCAATTTCAGTATCTCATTTCAGAAACTAGTGCTGCAATCTCATACATTTTCTCCAGTGAAGTACTGACCTACCACTTCAGTCAAATGAAGAGAATCATGCATTTGCTGAACTACTGAATAGGTTAAAAAAATTATAAATTGGTGTTTTAACTTGTATTGTAATAAGCAAATGCAAAAATATTAAAATTCACTATTTTTACTACTTGAACATAACCCAATACTTTAAGAGTAATCCAATTTGAAATATGAACCAACTAAAATTCTGGTAGAATTAGTGAACAGAATGACACTGTGGTTACTATATAGAAGGCAGAAACGGGACTTTCAGTTTTAGTGTGTGAAGGTTGGTTTTGTTTGTTTGGAATTTCTCTTCCAGTCACTAAGCAGGAAAGTGTTCTGTTACGGGAAGAATAACAAGAAATGATAAATGTGATCCTAACTTTAACTGATAAGTTTTACCAACTAATGGAAAATAAAGTCAAATACTCTGGTGTTTGTGATCTCTGCTTTCACTAAAGAATTCAAAGTGGTTTCAATTGTTTGTAGGTAAGGTGGTTGTTAAGAAAAAGCAAATGTTATAACTAAAGCTCATATATATCAGTTCTATGCTAGAGCATAAACTTTAGTCACAGTTATCTAACCAGAATGTAATTCATTGAACCTGAAAATGCTTCTAGCACAGGGCTGGGTTTAGTGAGATGCAAAATGCAAACACTGTTTTTGCTTTCAAGTTGATTCTAGTTTAGTTTAGGACACATTTAGTAGGTACAACTTGTAATTTATACATACTATACATACTTTTTTTGTTTTTTGAGACAGGGTCTTGCTGTATATACTAGGCTGGCCTTGAACTCGCAGTAATTCTCCTGCTTCAGCACTCTGATGAGTGCTAGGATTACAGGTGTGTGCCACCATGCCTGGCTATATGTACTTTTCAAGAGAAAAGCTGTTCCTTAAATTCAGATATAAGACAGTTGATTACCTAGTAATTACTGGGTTTTTTTGTTTGTGGTACTAGGATTTAAACCAGGGCCTTCACACTGAGCTACATCCCTGGCCCTTTAAAAAAAATTAAAAATTTTTTTGAGATAGGATCTCACAGTTATTAAATTGCCCAGGCTGGGCTTGAACTTTCCACCCTTCTCCCTCAGCCTCCCAGAGGCATGTATCACTATACCCCGCTGATAAATTACTTTTATACTTAACTGTTTACAGTGTTTTAGATGGTTAAATATGAGGAGGTACAGAGATTGGTTGTAAGGGAAAGGAAGTGGTCTAAGCCAAGCCAAACCATCACAAGCTAAGCATGGTGTCCACTACAGAGGGTGCATCTAGTAAATCTTTCCTAAGGGGTTTAAATTCTATTAATTTGGAAACTACTGAGCGCAGAACATTCACAGTTCCTACTGGATGACACAACTTCCCTGGGCCCTATGACTACATCTGTCAGTCTCATACAGTGGTGTTAAGAAGGTAAATGATGAAAGTATTTACTGAAAATGATGAAGGGGCACCAATTTGTTAACTCATATCTACAAATTCATTTTTCAGTTCTCTAGATTTTTTTTTTTTTGGTGATAGCTCTCCTTTTGTAGTTCAGGCTGTCCCAGAACTGGCAGCAATCCTCTTGCCTCTGCTTCCTGAGTGCTGAGACTACAGGCATGTGCCATCACACCCAGCTTCATTTCTTACTTTAAAGAGCAAATTTCAAGAGTATTTTTCATGATCATACATACCCAATGTAAATATTGGAAATATGACTTTTAATTCCACTGCTAGTCTGCCTTAGCACCAGTCAAAAGAAACCAGTGTCTTACATAAATGCCTTAAGACATCATATCTGACCAGGGACTCGAGAAAGGGTATTACCTCGGGTTTTGCTTTTTGGATAATTTAATCTTTTCTTTTTGTACTGAAAATCGAACTCAGGACGTTGGCACTTGGCAGGCAGGTGTGGCACAGCTGAGCTACACTCCTGGCCTGTTGGATAATTTAGTCTTATCAAGTGGGCAAAAAAGAAAGGTCAATCCTGATGTCCATGAGTTTTTGGTTACAGTGAGACAAAAGTTGGCTTTATTTTTTTAAAGTCCATATGAGATATACAGCTAACTGCTAACAACTGCTAAATTGATTTAAAATGAATTCTCGCCAGTTGTGGCAGTGCACACCTGTAACTCCAGCACTTGGGAGGCTGAGGCAGGAGGATCACAGTGACTTCGAGGTCAAACCAAAATAAACCAACCCCCCCATCTTAAGATATATCCTCTGCAAAACTGTTTATGTCATTAATTAGTAGCGATGAGATACCAGTCAATATACTAAAAAGCACTGCATTTTAAACTTAATTTTATGGCTTGTCCCCTAGATCTCAAAATGAAAAAAGGCAAAAAGAATATGACATCAGGGGCCGGAGATTTAGCTCAGTGGTTCCAGCGCCTGCTGCGCAAGGACCCGAGTTCGATCCCCGGTACCAAAAGAAAAAAATGACATCAGACATTAATAACTACACATATACGTTATACAAAAGAAAGAGTACCTCCCAATATTTAAGAAACAATTTGTCTTTATCTGTTCTCACCTGTGTCCCCAGTGACCCTTTTGTGGGTATGCTAATGATGCGGCGCCTTTTAGAGAGCACTCCCTGTAAACCAGGTTTTCCAGATTATTTTCTCAAGGCAAATACGGCTGAGATTGAGCAGAGCTTGGACTGGAACCCACGGCTACCCTGCAAGCCCGGGCTTTGAATCCCTGTACACTGCTGAATTAAGCACAGAGGAACTGGCCCCGAGCACCAGACTCATCTACCCACGCCGGCGGCCCAGGGCCCAGAGGGAGCGTGCGCCAGCCCGGCGCCGGCAGGAGCACCTGGGGGCCTGCGGGGTGTGGGTCGCGCCAGAGCAGGAGGCGGCGGGGCCGGCAGAGCGGAGGGCTGGGCCGCATCTGGGTGCTGCCCTCAGGTCCCTAGGCGCCGAGCTGGCCCTGCGGAGAGGCAGCCGGAGCGGCCGGCGGGCAGGCAGCGCGGCGGGCAGTCCGCGGCGGGCGGCATGGCGGCGGCTCTCGGGGCGCGCGGGGCAGGGCTGGGCCGCATCTGGGTGCTGCCCTCAGGTCCCTAGGCGCCGAGCTGGCCCTGCGGACAGGCAGCCGGAGCGGCCGGCGGGCAGGCAGCGCGGCGGGCAGTCCGCGGCGGGCGGCATGGCGGCGGCTCTCGGGGCGCGCGGGGCGAGGCTGAGCTCCCTGGTGGCGCTGCGGGGCGGGCGCCGGGGCCTAGCGGCCAAGGTGAGTCCCGAGAGCTGGGTGAGGAGGGGGAGCGCGAGGCCCGGACGCCCGCCGAGGGGCGCGCTGGGCTTCGTGTCAGACTCGGGGTCGCAGTCGCCGCCGCGGCCTCGCACCGCACCTGCTTCACGCGAGGCGCGGAGCAAGCGCGTCCTCGGCGGCAGCACCACTTCTCTCCTGGCTTAACAGTCCCGCCATAGCCTGCGAATTTGCTAACCGGAAGCGAACGAGACTGAGTTTTGTTTTTTTAAAAATATGAAACTTAGTTGTAAAACGGACGCGTGAGGACACTCGGGTGCTAATGATCACAAGCGACTGTACCCTCCGTTTGTCTCTGCGGCGCCTCGCTGTTAGCGGGTTCCCCTCATGGTCAGTTAACCGATTTGTCTTGAGGCTGAGTTTTGTTTTGTATTGTTTTTGCTTAAGAGGCTGAGTTTTTGAAGAAATTATTATTATTCTTTTTTGGTTATTTGAGGCACGGCCTCGGTATGTGGTTCACCTCGCGGCGATCCTCCTGCCTCAATGGACGAATTAATAAATTACTGTTTTTGTTTTTGGTGACCCATTGATTTTTCTTTCCACTTCCAAAAGGGTGTTCAGTTAGTTTTCCTGCTTCAGAAATTAATATTTTGGAGTCCACTAACTTGAAGGAAAGTTTAACATGTAGCACCATCTAGTGGAAAAATGTTGCATTAGACTCAGCGTTACGTTTCATTAAATTGGTTATTAGAACCCATTTGAAGTTTAATAGAAGAAATTTAAAGTAGTCCAGTGGTGGAGGAAAAGAAGCACTGTGTTTTGTGGCCGCGAAAGAGAAAACAGTGCATACTGTCAGCTAGCGCGTCTCTAGGCATACCTCTGCCCATGTGGTGGTGGCGGAGTAAAATTGTGGTGAGCAAGAAGGAATGAATGAACAGTAGGACCTCTGCTGGGTGCCTTTGCATTCAAGATCTCTTTAAGCCTTCCATAAAATCTTGGCAGGTTGATACTGTAATATCATCACTCTAGACACGAGGACATTGAAATTCAGCCTCTCACAGGAAAATGTAAAACTTGTCCGAGAATCAAGACTACTGTACTCTTTCCAAACCCCATGCTTTTCCCTCCCTCTGCTTCCAAGGCGGGTAAAATTAAGGCCCTCACAGAGGGTTCTGCTGAGGGTGTCCCCTCAAAAGGGCCTTTGGTGTCCTGTAGATGCAGTGGCTCCGTTTCGGTTCTGGACATGGTCCGTGTTGCTGGGCGGACCTCTGTGATGAGCGGCAGCACACACCCTCCATCTCCATCCTGAGAAAACTGGCTCAGAGCACATCCCACAGCCTCCAGGTGACTTCCGCATGACTGGCAGCATATTTAATCAGCTACTTAATGTGGACAAAGATAATTCTGTTTCTTAGAAATTCTCTGAGCTAACAATTACGTGGTTAGTAAAAATTTTAAATTATTTCATGTAGTAGACCGCAGTGAAATTTTTCAGAACTGTTATTGTAAGATTAATGAGTAGCTCGTTTTTTTGTTTTTTTTTCCTTTGGAGTACTGGGCATTGAACCCAAGGCCTTCACCCTACCCTATATCCCAGCTCCACCCCACTTTTGATATTCCATTCTGAGGCAGGGCCTGGCTAAGTCACTGAACTGCCCAGGGGCTGGGTTCCAACTTTCGATCCTCCTACCTCAGCCTTTCAGTGTTGGAATTCCAGGTGTGCATGTAAATATTTTTGTTTAAGAGGTATTCTTATTCACCCCATTTGTTAGTTGTGTGAGAAGGGCAGCTGACCTAGCAAGGAAGAAGAAAAAGTAGAAAATTAGTTCATTAGCATCCTTTTTTCTCTTCATTGAATAAGTTGCTTAAACATAAAATAGTTTTACTCTCTTAGGTATAGGATTGTCTGTAATAAGGGATTTTAGGATTCTAGAAGTTGGAGTAGGTGCGCTTCATTCAGCTCAGCTGTATTCAGTTCCCTTTGATGAGGAACCCTCAATGTTAGTTCCATCTTTCTGGTGACGTTATCTCTTTCACTTGAGCCTATAGTAGCCTGCAAATGAATAGACAGGAGGGATTGGTTGACATCTCACAAATTCTAGCAGAATGTCTATCTTTTTTCCTCTGGTCATGGAATTTACAGTTTTATTTTTAACTTATAAAAGAACTGGCATAGGAAGTGGGGTCTGTTAAAAGAATCTTGGCTTTTGAATTTTATCAGTAGTGGGAATAGTGTCAACTGTGCACACAAGTGCTTTGGACTGGGTAGTCCTCTGGCCAAACTGAAAAGGGAGTTTTGTCTTACTGCTGCTCTAAGAAAAGGATTTCATAAACATAGAAGGCAAGAGCTCTTTACCTATAGTAGAGGGTCTGTGGGTCCCTAGAAGTTATACAAAGTCCTATGTAAATGTGCATTTGTGTTTTCCTCTCTGGGCATCAGCTTTTGTCAGATATGAAAGGGGATAGTAACCCCAAATATTTAAAACCCATGTGAATAGTGCAGTGAAGGCTGCCAAGGTTATGGGAAACCATCTAAAGAGCAGTAGGACAAGAGTTCACAACCCTGAATTGTGAGGAAGGAAAAATTAGAAAATTGGCTCACCAGCATCCTTTTTTTCTCTTTATAGAATATGTCACATAAAGGTTGAACACAGAACTTTTACTTTTTTTTTTTTTGGTATCGGACTCAAGACCTTGCACTTTCGAGGCAGATGCAGCACCACTGAGCTAAATCCCTGGCCCCAGTCAGAACTTTCTTGCCAGTGGTTTTGCAGAGTTTCTGTGGGTGGGTGTTCTTACCTCAGTTTCCAAAGTTTGGAATTCTGTGATGTATCTAAGAAGTCCAGAAATAATGGTCAAGCACAGTTGTATCTGTAGAGTTGCTGAACTCTGAAGTTTGAGGCAGCAGTAAGGGGTGTGGAGATGACGTATCATCTGGCCTTGTATAGAGCTAGCCTTGTCTGTATTTTGAGAACAAAAAAATGGTTAGAATTTGTCATCTTGAGACTTTTTCTACATTTCTTCTTAAGGTAAAGAGCTGTAAGTTCATTTTTGCAAGTTTATTTAGAGTTTAAGTTAACTTCTGTTTTCAGATATGAAATGTGTTCTCTTCACAGTCCTCAGATTCTCAGCTGTTGACTGCAGAGGAGAGGAACCAAATTCTACTTGAGCTTAAGAAAGCAGGATGGTCAGAATTAAGTGAGAAAGATGCCATCTACAAAGAATTCTCCTTCAAAAATTTTAATCAGGTAATTATTATGAATTCTTGTTAGTGCTGTGGTTTATTTTTGTTCCTTTCAACTTTCTAATACTGTTGGTTGTCTGGTCCCATGTGGACCCAGGGCCTACATTCTCCCTTCTTTAAGAATTCAGTGAGAGGGGGTCCAGGGATTTAACTCAGTGGTTCTGCCACCTGCTTCGCAAGCGCAAGGACCCAAGTTCGATCCCCAGTGCCAAAAAAAAAAAAGAATTCAATGAGAGTGCCAGGTGTGGTGCCGAATGCCTATAATCCCAGCATACAGGAGGCTGAGACAGGAGGATCACTGCAATTTTGAGGCCAGCCTGGGCTACATAGTTCAAGGCCAGCCGGAACTACATAGTGAGACTGTCTCAAAAATAAAAAAAAAAAAAAAAAAAAGGGCTGGGGATTTAGCTTGGTGGTTTTGCTGCCTACTGTGCAAGCGCAAGGACTGGAGTTTGATCCCCGGTACTGGAAAAAAAATAAGATCTTCCTTGTTTATAATTGCTACAGCACACCTGGGCAATTCTCAGCCCCAAGGGAAGGGATGATTTATGTTATTTGGAAAATAAGATTCTGAAACTACTATACTTTTGATTTGATGTTGGTTATGATAGTTACTTTTGGACTTTTAGATTACATTAAAAGAGGATGTGAGCTTTTAATTTTTATCGGACGAGGGCATGAATAAAAAAAATCAATTCAGAAATGTTTGCATGCTTGACAATTTCCTCTACTTTTCCTGGGCAGTTTATAAGTTTTCTTTCTTTTTGTAGTTTTATTTTTGCCTCTTAAATCATCTCTCAAGCTGCTCCTATCTTACTCTTCCTTAATTAGCTAGTTTTCCCCAAGCCCAGTAGCCAGCCCTTGAAGCTTTTCTTAAAACCTGACCTCTCCCTTGGAGACTTAGCCTTAACAAAGCAAGTGTTCCATTTGAGTCCCACCCTGTTTAAAGAGTCATCTCCCATGACTTACCCTTTAGTTATTACTCCCCTGCATTATATAAGGTAAAAGCTTTTGATTATTTCATGTTTGTTCAGTTAGTTTGGTAATCCTTTGGACAGATTTATTGTTTTTATTTATATTAAGTGTCAGCATCTCGAAGTCAGAGACTGTTTGCTTAAATAACTTTCTATTGTACACAATGTAGTTGTGGATACAAACAGGCATTTGATAAATGCAGACATTGATTACAGTGTTTGCTGGTTTCTAGAAGGGTGTGTGAGGACCAGATTGCCACCAAAGAAACCCTCAGCATGTTTTCCTAGTAAATGCCATTGGCTCCACTGAGCTGCCTGCTCTATTCTGTTCTCCATCCATCTGGCTGCCAGCCATCTGCTGAGTCCCCAACTCCTAAGGAAACCTTCACCTAGCAGACTCCTTGTCCCCACTGCCCCATGTGCTCGACAGCTCTTGTCAGGGGCTTAGCACTCTGTGGCTGGTGGGAGGGAATCCCATTGGTACAGTAAGCTTGTGTATAAGCTCTAGGTAGCATTTTCCAAGCTTATTAAAATTCTTACATGTGTACAGCTTGACTTCTTTAAGCCTGGGCTAATTTATTGGGCTTGAACATGTGGCTTAAAGTACTTGAATGGTGTTGCCTCAGGCTCTGCCCATGAGTCAGTCCTCCAGCACTACTCTAAACCTTGTGCTTAGCGCAACTTTCAGAAATAGGAGGGAAGGGAAGCTGTGCAGGGCATCCTTGATTAGCTGTGACATTATTCACTGGGACATTTCATTAACTAGGCTTTTTCCTCAGCTCATGCAGCTTTTAGGAAAAAGAGGCAGATGCCAAGAAAATCAGCTAGTGTCAGGAAATGTGCTCAGAGGACCAGCACCGAGATTATACCCTGGGGTCAGTTTTCCAACAGGCTTCTGTGACTTCTGCATGTACATTGGCCTGTAATGGCACTGGTGTCATGACGGCTATCACTGCCTTCCAGGCAGAGTCAACCAGAAGCACTAGTTGTACAAGTTGGGTTAATCGATTATTTCAGCAAGGGAGAGCATGGGGTCATCAGAAACCATGGGGGATCTCAGGGAGGCATTGGTGGAAAGACTTGTGACAGCATTTGGGCTTGTACTTGTCATTTTGGAAGGTTTTGAGGGAATTAAGGCTGTGTTCTGGATTAGATGGTGTCAGGAAGTGGACAATTCTGTGATTCAACGTTTTTATAAATCTTAACTATAGGAAGAACAGACTAAGGTGGGGCCAAAGCTGAAACTGGAAAAGAAGCTGTGGTTATTCATTAGATGGGAAAGGGGGATGTTTGGTATTTTGTGGTTTGGAAAATGTTTGTGTTTTGTTTCTGGTCAGATAACATTATGGAGTGGTGTATTTATGTCCTAATGCATCATGGTCATAGAGTGGCTCTGTCTGCTCTTGATGTCATGTTCAAGAGGAGAGCACATCCTAGGCCAGCTCCCATGCACTAGGAGCTGTTCACATCCCATGTGTAGGGTAGCGACCCCTTGGGACTGACAGATCCTTATTCATCTTTCATCTAAGACAGAAAGCCTTTTTACTTTTTTGGGGTACTGAGGATTGAACCCAGGGCCTTTTTACTGAGTCATATCCTCAGCCCTTTTATTATTTACATTTTGAGACAGGGTCTCACTAAATTGCCAAGTTACCCAGGCTAGGTTCCAACTTTTGGTGTAGTTTTTTATTTTTGTTTTTGTTTTTTGAGACAGAGTCTCATATACCACCACACCCAACTTGGTTTATTTTTCTTTGACACAGGGTCTCACTATGTATATGCTTCAGGTTGGCCTTGAACTCACCATGTAGCCTAGGCTGGCCATGAACTCATGGTGATCCTCCTGCCTCAGGCTCCCCAGTGCTGGGATTACAGTATGTGGCACCATGCCTGGCCATTGGTTTTTATTGAAACAACAACAGAACATTAAGATGATGTACATTTTTAAAAACTGTGTGGAGTGAGCATACCTGTAATCTCAGCAATTGAGAAGGCTAATGCAGGATCTCAAGTTTGAGCTTAGCCTGCACAATTTAGCAACCCTGTCTCAAAGTAAAAAATTTAAAAAGGGCTGAATATATAGCTAGTATGAAAGCCCTAGGTTCCAGCCTCAGTACTGACCTCCCCCTCAAAAAAATCACAACTACTTAAAAAAATTTTTTTGTAGTGTACTGAGGATTAAACCCTGGACCTTGCGTATGCTAGACAAGCGCTCTGTGACTGAGACACATCTCTAGCCCACTGTTCCACTGGTTTGTTTGTTTGAGACAAGGTCTCCTTGTAGTTCAGGCTGGCCTTGAACTCACTGTGGAGCCCAGACTCCCCTTAAACTCAAGGTGATCCTCCTGCCTCAGCCTCTGTAGTGCTGGGATAACAAGTGTGTGCCACCACACCCAGTCCCCTGTTCTCTTTTCGTATTTCTCCATAGGTATAACTTATTTACAATGTAGTAGTTGTATATATAGTTAAATTTAAAAAATTATCTTAAAAGTATTATTAATTCACTAGATGTTTATGAAACATCTTCAGTATGTTAGGCGTTATTCTAAGCTCATGTAGCTCCCATTACAAGGAGAGAGGATAGATAGTAAACAAATGAATAGATAATGTAATTTCAGTTAACAGCAGGTACCATGAAGAAGAATCATGTAAGAGACTGGAGTAGAAGGTGAAAGAGGAGGCATTATTTCAGAGGGCATTGTCTGGAATGATCTCTCTGGGAAGGAGACATCTGAGTCCTGAGTAATGTGAAGGATCTCAATGTGTGAGACTCCAAAGGAAGAACGTTCTATATGGAGAAACAATTAGAGTTCCCAAAGCAAGATGACCTTAGCATGGTTGAGCAAGAGCCCAAAAACTAGTGTTCTGGATGGAGCAGACTCAGAAAGTAGAAAGAGAAACTGAAGCCTTGTTCGCATGGTGAAGAGTTTGAGTTTTAATCTGTGAAAAAACTATTGGAGGATTTCAAGAAGAAAAATGTCATTATCCTATATTCTAAAATATCATGCTGGATTTCTGCTGAGAATAGGCAGTAGAAGGCAGGAGTAGGAGCAGGCAAACTATACAGGACACTAATACCATAGTCTAGGGAAGAGACAACAGGAGATCAGAGGTGGAAAGAAATGTGGGATTCCTCGTATGGTCTGAAGACAGAAAAATAGAGAGTTGCTGATAGAGTTGGAGGTATAGCTCAGTGGTAGAGCACTTGTCTAGCATGCCCAAGACCTTGGGTTTGATTCCCTCCCTAGCACTGCCAAAAAAATAAAGACTTGCTGATAGATTGATCAGGGGTTGGGGGAGGCTGTTAAGGATGACCCAAGGTTGGAGTTCAAGCTATATTGTGAAGGATAGTGCCATTGGTGTCACTTACTGACCTAGGGAAAACAGGCCATAGGGAATTAAGAATCCTGTTTTGGGCCAGGGTTGTAGCTCAGTGGTGCTGTGCCTGCCTGGCAGGTGCAAGGTCCTGAGTTTGATCCCCAGTACCAAAAAAAAAAAAGAAGAAGAAATGGCAGTAGAGGTGTAGGGATAATGTCCATTGTAACAGGAAAGAAGGAAGAGTGTATCAGTGTAGTGTAGGTAGATTGGTATGTTTGTCCTGGAAAGAAGAGGTATTTCTCTTCTGATTATTTTAATTTTTTTTAGTGAAGTCATCAACTGAGAGCAAGGGGAGGTGGGAGGGAGGAGTTTTGGGGGTCTGAGGAGGTAGAAGGAATCCAAGTCAACTTGGTGACAAAGATAATGAGTTGACTAGGAAGATGTGGCTGGTTGATGGGAAGTTCTCAGTGTTACTACAGATTATGATCAAATTTTTTTTTAGACAATGACTTGCTGTGTAGTCTTGAACTCACTGTGTAGCTCAGGCTGGGCTCAAACTTCCCATCCTGCTGTCTCAGCCTCCTGAAGGCTGTGGTCAGACATTTAAAGTAAAGATTTTCTTTGTTTTGTCCAGCCACGTTCAGCTGCCTGGATACAGGTTTGGAGTAGATGTGGACTGAATGAGAACTGAACTTTTGCCGAATGAGTACAGTGGAAGAATAGAGGGCCAAGGAAGTAAGGGCATGTGCAAGGGAGGGATTAAAACATTGGCCCTTGGAGTCTAGGCTGGTGAGGGAGGTATGGCATGACAGGGAGATAGATGGTGAAGATCTGAGAGAGTCATTTGATATCTTTTGGAGGGCAAATGAGCAATGCTTGTTAAGCCTTTTGTGAGTGGGTGTGTCTGTGTCTGTGTGTCTGTGTCTGTGTTTGTGTCTGTGTTACTGAGGATCAAACTCAGAGCCTTGCACATGCTAGGCAAATACTCTACCACTGAGCTACACTCAGGCCCCCAATGGCTGTCAGCTACTGAAATCTACATGCCCATAGTCCTAACCTAGAAATTTATATTCTAGATGTGGTCCTGCACGTATGCTAATTGGATATGTGAGGATGACCATTAATGTTCTATTGGGGCCGAGGATTTAGCTCAGTGGTTTCACTGCCTGCTGCGCAAGCACAAGGACCCGAGTTTGATCCCCGGTACCAAAAAAAAAGTTCTGTTGGCCTGTAATGTTTTATTGTGACTAGGCATTTCCATGTGCACTTGCCCACCATGTTAAGGTCACATCCCTCTTGCTGAAGCCCTGCCATCAGAAGGAGTTAAGAAGGCCTGCTATGCTTACAGTTGAGAGATCCAACACTTTTCCTGGCCTCAGCTCCACAAACTGGAGGAGGCCACAGTTACAACTGATGACCTTTCTGGTAAGAACATGATTCACACTGAATTGTAACTTGTTTAAAAAATTCGGTGAACATATGGGTAAAAAATACATTGTTTCTTTTACTCGATAGATTGAGGTTTTCTTTTTTTTAGTTCTTTACATTATCTTTTCATTTTTCTTACAATAAAATCTTCAGGAGTAGGAGTATACCTGGTTGGACATTATAATTTTTTTTCGACGTTGTAATTTTTAAGATGGTGTGCTTATGTAGTTTGTGTAAAGTGGTATCACAGTTTTCTATCTGTTATTATATCTAGATGTCCCCTCAAAGCCTCATGGTGGGGAGTTTTGAAGGTGGCTTGATTAGAGTGTGTGATACTGGGATTAAGGGTGTGTGATTACTAAATTAGTCCATTGATTGGTTTGGCATAGTTCTGAGTGTGGATGATGGGAAGGCCCACCCTAGGTGTGGGTGGCACCACCCAAAGGACAGGTAACCTGGAAAGGATAAAAAGGAGAAGCAGGCTGCTGCTGCTTCACTCACTACTTGCTGTCTTCTGCCTGCGCTGCTTTGCCATGGACTGTTTCTCCTCTGCAAATGCCCTTCTGCCATGCAACCCTGCTGTGGAGGCAGCTGACTGTGGACTAAAACCTTTGCAAGCTGTGAGTTACAATAAACCTTTCCTCCTTTAATTTTGGGTGATGGGTATTTTGTCTCAGCAACATGAAAAGTAAGGCACTGTCTTTTAGTATTATAGAAAATGAACTATACATTTGAGGAACATTACCACTGAACCTTGACAAAAAACCTATTTCTCAAGTCTTTGGGCTCTTTCAGGTTTTATTACAGTAAGAGCCAGCAAATACATTTGATCTTCTTTTTTCTGTCAGAGGTTTTATTCCAAGATATGGTTGGCTCCACATAGTCTAAATTAGTTTCATAGCTCAGATGAGCACAGGTACTTGGGGATTATAAGTATAGAAATTTCCCAGCTATTCTCCCAGGATAGGTAGATGAAGTAGTCATAGGTGGCAATTCCTGTTGGCACCTCTGCCCTTGGTGGTGGTGCACAGGCTCCACAATGCTTTGTGGGTTGGTGGGCGGTATGATGGTGACAGCGGCACTTTACGAGCAGACAGTGTGACAATCCTGGGACTCAAGACAGGGACTTTACATATTCAGAGTGCTTGAACTCAGACAGGGCGAGGTTGCATTTGTAAAGGAGTTTTGCTTTTTCTGTTCATGGATACATAAAGAGGGAGAGCTCTGTAAATAAACTTATTTCTGGGCATTGGGCAACGGCAGAGCAACTGTATTGAATGAACAGTGTCAGTTGGAAATGTGGATGTGCATGTCCCATAGAGATAAATTTTGTTATATATTGTCATGAACAGGAATAAATGGGAAGCTTACAAAATCAGAGGAAATTTTAAACTTTAGAAGTAACTGCAGAAGGTGAGGCTTTGAAGCTCAGGAAACAGGTACTCCAGATGCCAGTAGGTGGAGCCCTCCTGGGCAGGAGCCCAGACTGGCCAGGATACCCCGACCCTGTAGCAGGTTGTCCTCAATCCCCCACTCCTGGATACTTGGGACCACCACTTGGGACCACTTGTTCAGTGTGGAAATAAGCTCTGTATCAGGAATAGAGAAGTAGTGGTTGGACACTAGAGTTGTTTTGGTCCATTTTGGGTGAATGAAAGATTCTGGATGGAATTTTCTACTGGTAAAGGTGAGGACAGAAGCTTTGTGAGAAGGAGCTGCATTCACTACATTCCTGGAGAAGCTCCTGTGCCTTGTCTGTGCTTTGTTAGGGGGTCTGCTGGGCAGCCACTTGATTATCTGAGTATGAATTATATGAATTGGCTGGTGCTCAGCGACCTTTCCTCTTCAAAAGGGGCACTTTTCCATTGTTTGATTGAACAGCCGTCAAAGTGTAGTACCCTTTCCAAAGCAAGGACCAAGCTTTGTTCTCTAGCTTATTCATCAGATTCATGTTTGTAACTGCTGCCTCAAAAGCTTTCTTGGGCTGGGGTGGCAGAGAAGAGGAGTCTCCTAACTGGCTTAGCTCACATTGGCCATGGTAGGGGTATTCTGTGCATCTAGCAGTAGTATCACCACATGTGACTTGGGGGTTTGTACCATGTTTCTCTTCCAGTGCCCAGAGAGACTTCTGAAATAGAGCAGTTGAAAGTTACTGTTGCTGGCTAACTTTATAAAAATGTTTTAATTGAGGAATTTGATAATAGGCTTATGGTTAACATTTTCAGACACTTAATGAAGTCAGAGGCTTGATGATACCAGAAGAAAGACAACTGCTAATGAAAGTTTTTTGTTTTGTTTCTTTGAGACAGTCTCACTATGCACTTCATGCTGGCCTTGAACTTGTGGTGATCCTTCTGCCTCAGCCTCCCAAGTGCTGGGATTACATGGATATGCCACCACTCCCAGTTGTTAATGAAAGTTTTAATAGTACTCTTCAGGATTTTGATGAAGGTCTCAGCTGCTGTCTTGTGAAAATTAGGGGTTTTATTGTTGTTACTGTTGTTGCTTTCGATATTGGGGGGTTGAATGCAGGCCCTGAGCAATTTAGCAATTTAGCAAGACCCTGTCTCAAAATGGAAAATAATAGAAGGGCTAATAAAAATATCCAGGTAGTATTCATGTTGCTGTTCACTTTGAAGTTCTTCCTGGAGTGCCAGGTAAGTCTGGAACGCCCTGTGTTGATGTCGTCCGGTTGTGGCGGACGTGTTGATCCATCAGGATAGGGAAATAAGAGCCTAAGGTGTTATCATCATTTGGAGTCTTGTTTCTTCTGTTTGTGTTGTACAGTAGGTTTAGACCTGATGTATATTTGTAAAAGCATATGCAGTAGATGAGGAGAAATGTAAAACAGGTGTCAACAATGCAAATAGGACACCACACTGCAGTGTGAAAACACTGTGGTCGTTACACCGTCCTTTAATAAAAATGGACTTTCTACTGCATCAGTTTTTCTTAGTCATGTAGTAAATCTTCTGTTTACAGAACTTAACCTGAGTGTATTGTAAAAGTCAAACAGCCAAGAAATACAATTTCCTCAATAGTCTTTGTCTTGCCCTTTTACAGATGGCATAAAATCAGGAGTGTAAAAAATAAAAAAGCAGTTTGAGCTGACGTGAAATGTATTTCAGATTTATGCCTTGCAGATGATATTGGTATGATTAATGCATTCATTGCCTTTTTTTATTGCTTTTCACAGATAATGTACATGATGCATGGAAAATGTTGTGGGTTTAAATCTTTGCCAGGTTTAGACTATGAATATCAACAGATGTTATCATATAAATACCGTAATTATTATGAAAGAAAAAATTTGTCATGAAATGTATTGACATAAATTTCATTTATGTAAATTGCTTTCATCAGCCTAAAACCTTACTGTAGCATTTAGGGCTTATGAAGCACTGAGGATGAGATTAAGTTGGAATAAAATGGTCACAAATGGGTTACTTTAAATTTAACTGACAAAATAACACTTAAGAGTTAGGAAATTACTGAGGAGTTTGTTTTCAGCCTGTATTGCTGGTACTTCTTAAATAGGTTGACTATGAATTAATAACGATGGCTGCTGGCTCAATAACTGCAGAAAATAATTGAAAGGAGAACTTAAATAATAAAAGTATTTTGGTCTTGCTCTTTTCCATTTTGTTTCTGTTTTTTCTTTGCTATATCTGTCTACCACTTCAGTATGACAACTATCAGTCGTGTTCAGGTTTGCACAGTGAATTTTGACTGTAGAGTTTTGGTGCATTATGATTTTGACAAAGAAATTTGCAGGATATGTGTATTGGTGGAATATCAAAATCAGCTAGTCACCTCTTCTTAGTAGCAGTACAGTGCTGTGCTTGCATTCATTTCTGGTGGCTAGGTAGAGGACCAGTTGGTGTCTGTCATCAGGAAAGATTTGGTCCAACAGTATGGACAAGTGGATGAAGTTCTTCCCTGGCTCTGAGTTCTCTGTTCTGCTCTTTTTATATGTCCTTTTAAAGAAAGCAGAGCAGTAACATTCTCTCCAGTATTGTAGTTCATTGATCGTCATATTGCCCCTCTGATCTAGTGGAGATGGGGCCTTCTAAGTCATTCACAAAATCTTACAGAACAACACTGAATCAGACTGAGATCGTGAGATCTCTTCTGGTCATACTGGGTTGTGTCACAGTTGTAGGTTCCAGACTCACATCCTTGGATCCTCACATCCTTTTGTCCTTTTATCCTCACATCCTTTTTTATCCTTCTTGTGATACAGAAATATTTTATTATTGATGTTATTGTTGTTTTTAGGAGATATCTTATTTTCCAATTAATACTTGTTAGGTTACTTTGCTTCCTTTAATGGGTTTCACCATACTTCCCTGAGAAAGTGAATGCTGTATCACCAGCTGATACAAAGCTGTGTTTGTTTGGAAGTAACCCAGGTATCACTGTTGAGCAACCAGAGGTCATTTAATTGTATCATTCACATCAGTCCTATCAAAACAGCAAATGCTGCTAATGAATCTGTTTTCTCACATGGTCTCATTCAGCCAGCAGGGAAGAACTGTGGTCTTCTACTATATCATTCAGCAAACTGACTTCACTTATACTGTCTTCACCATTGAAGCCCTGACTGTGGGCACTTATGAGGTTCCTGAAGCATCCCCAGGCAGATAGGCTGGGAACTGCCTTGTCTGGCTCTGTTGGTTGCAGCAAGCTCAGTGAAACTCTAGAGCCGACAACCACCCAGGGCTGGCACTATCTGGCCCAAGGTTTGGAAGGAATAAAATATAACAGGACTACCTGGTTTCATCTTTGTTCACAAGAGCTTCCAGTTTTGTTGGGGAGGTGGCACATCCAAATTTTACAATGTAAATTTTTTCAAATTGCGTTGTTAATCAGTACTAAAATGTGACTTATTAATATTAAGTCAAAGGCAATGCACTGCAGTGTGGCTGCCTGGAGGAGTTTTGAGTTGGTCCTTGAAGATCTGATAGATTTTTGGGAGGGACAGGGCTAAGAGGAAA